TTCTTTTCCGTTCCATTCTATTCTATTCTATTCTATTCTATTCTATTCTATTCTATTCTATTCTATTCTATTCTATTCTATTCCTGTTCTGTTCCATTCTGTTCTTTTCCGTTCCATTCCATTCCATTCCATTCCATTCTCTATATTCTATTCTATTCTATTCTATTCTATTCTATTCTATTCTATTCTATTCTATTCTATTCTATTCTATTCTATTCCTGTTCTATTCTATTCCTGTTCTGTTCTGTTCTTTTCCGTTCCATTCTATTCTCTATATTCTATTCTATTCTATTCTATTCTATTCTATTCTATTCTATTCTATTCTATTCTATTCCTGTTCTGTTCTGTTCTTTTCCGTTCCATTCTATTCTCTATATTCTATTCTATTCTATTCTATTCTATTCTATTCTATTCTATTCTATTCTATTCTATTCTATTCTATTCTGTTCTGTTCTGTTCTGTTCTGTTCTGTTCTATTCCATTTCCATTCCATTCCATTCCATTCCTACTTTCTGTCTTTGGATCTGGCCTGTTCCCAAATTGCAAATCTAAGTTACCTTTACACACAATGTATTCGATTTTAACATTTTGCTTCCTTTTTTTCCCCCCGTTTGGAAAAGTCTGGAAGAAGCGAGAACGAAACAGGGAGTCAGAGAATCAAACCTCTGTTTGAAGAAGATCCTTTGTTCGGTCGACAAACATCATATCAACATGCTGCTGTCCATATACCAACCGATATCTACGATGGCTGTAAGTGTGGAGAGATTAATACCATCTTCTTTTTTATATATATAAATATTTTATTAATTTTCTATTTTTACAAACAAGTGCTTAATAAACAACGTGTTGACGGTCCATTAATAATTCCGTGGTACATGTAAGCTTCTTCAAACTAAATCCAATATTACACCATCTAATACAGGGCTCTTCAAACTTGGTCCTTTTATGACTTGTGGACTTCAACTCCCAGAATTCCTCAGCCAGGCACGCATTACAAAGCCTTAGTAAGACCACACTTGGAAAACTAAATCCAGTTTTCGTCACCATGATATAAGAAAGATGTTGAGGCTCTGGAAAGAGTGCAGAGAAGAGCAACAAAGATGATCAGGGGACTGGAGGCTAAAACATAAGAAGAATGGTTGCAGGAATTGGGTATATCCAGTCTAGTGAAAAGAAGGACCAGGGGTAACATGATAGCAGTCTTCCAATATTTGAGAGGTTGCCACCAAGAAGAGTGGGTCAACCTATTTTCTAAAGCACCAGAAGGCAAGACAAGAAGCATTGGTTAGAAACTAAGCAAGGAGAGAAGCAACCTAGAACTAAAGAGAAATTTCCTGATAGTTAGAACAATAAACCAATGGAACGGCTTGCTTTCAGAAGTTGTAGGTGCTCCATCAAGGAGGCTTTTAAGAAGAGACTGGATGGCCAATTGTCTGAAATGGTATAGGGTCTCCTGCTAAAGCAGGGGGTTGGACTAGAAGATCTCCAAGGTCCCTTCCAACTCTGTTATTCTGCTATTCTGTTAACATGACATTTGAACTTCCCTCTGGTCAGTTTGAGGTTATGCTCCACTGTTCTTGATTTTTGCTTAATTTCATCTGAGCAGATGAAATATTGACCAGAGAAGAATCAGCCATCTACGGACACACCGTTGATGGCCCACAATCCACAAGATGTCAAGGTCTTCATCGAAAATCGATGGACGAACAACAACATTGCTTATTGATGCCTTCATTGGCATCTTCTTTTGGAATGGTACCATAGCAGAAAGGGTCCAAGTCTTCTTGAATGCCTTAATTGATGACTCAATGGACACTGGTCCATAATGCACATCCCTCCACAACCCTGTTCAGATAAGACTTTTGCTCCTTCAGACTTAACAAATAAAAAATTGGAAGTGTCTTTTAACTCAGCCATCTTCAAGCTCCATTGAAATCTTAACAGGGAATTGAAGGCCCCAACTAGACTTGTATTTATATAGAGTTTTCCCTGATTGTGAGGGTCTATATCTCTAAATGTCACTCAAGTAGAAACATGAATGTCAAAAGCAGTAAGCGGAGACAAAGTTTGAGTTCAATTTCCCCGGCAGCCCATCGGATCTGGAGGATTATGCTGTGATTCCGACTTTATTAATTTAAAGGTGCATTGCAATTGCTGGATTAGGGTGGAATTTGCTGATGTTTTAGGCTTCCTTAAGAGAAATTGATCATTTCTGAAGGGTTAATTTATATTCTGAAGGGAGGGAAGGAAAGAGAGATGATTCATGGGCAAAACGTCACTTGAAATGTTTTAATTTAATCCTGACTTTTCGGGTTGACATATATCTTCATTAAGCCTATAATGCCAAACTAATAAGTTAGTAGGGAAACTTTTCAACGTGAATATTCAATATAATTTTACCATATGGACAAATGAGCTGGATTAACTTGCTCTTCTAGATACGGTTTGAATAGGAAAGAGAGCGGATCAGGGTTTGAACATGGAAAATGTCAGGCTTATATACATCATGCGCTGACTGGGAAGGCATTTAAGAAGTACAAAGAAGCAACTTCTGGAATTTTGGGAACTGTGACTGCAAGATTGATCGGATCTTGTTGTGTGTTTAGAACCAATATTTCCGTACCTGTCAACATAAGCCATAAATGGAGAAAAATGTAGGCAATAATTACTCTATTTTTCTTCCTGAAAGACAAAGAAATATTGGCCTCCTTATTATAACTAACTAGCTAACTAAATAAATGTTGTGAGCCACTCAGAGTCCTCTTTGAGTGATATAGTAGCTATGTGAATTTGAATAATGAACAAATGAAATATTTAACAGGAAGAACGGCATATAAGGCTGTAATTGTCAGCATTTGGAGAAGGACAGGCAGAACCTGGGAATGGAGTCAAGAGAGGAATCAGCCTGCAGTCGTTACGTTGTCACAAATGTTCTAAGTCCAATCCCTCTTGAACTCTGTTGATTTTTATTTAACATCAACCGTTAGTTGATTAGATTCTTGTCAATAGGCAGGAGCAATAAATCGGCAAAGTGGAATTTAACCTGTGGTCCTGATTCTTCAGGCTCGACAGATCACCATAACACCTGAACCCTAAATTATAGTTAAATGTAAAACATAAGTCAGTGAATTATTCTTCCCTACCGCTTTACCAAACACGTTACACAAATTAAATCATTAACATGTTAGAGTTGAATTCAATCATTCTTGACATTAGGAAGCAGGCTTGAATTGTTTTAGCTCGTGTCTCTTCCTCCCCTATTTACAGCCGATGTTATTTGACACCTGAGCAGCCATTCTGATAAATTAAAGATGTGCTAGATGTTTTTGCTCAATTAGATTGAGTCGGGGATTGGTGGAAACTCCTATTAATGTTATGAATGCTCTTTAAAAAACCATGTTGCTCATACCAAGTATAATTAGTGTCTAATTTCCCAGGGGTGGCCGCTGTGCAATTGAGAGGCCTCGCATCTGCGTTTGTCACTCCCGTGTTAAAACCCGGAATTAATGTGCGTGTGTCGATCTGGCCTGTTTTGCCCTCCTTCTTGTTTTAAAGGATATTGTCCACTAGTTAATCACTTGGGACATTGTGTTTGACAGTTGAACAATGGAGGATAAAGGATTGCGGGCTGGGACAGTGTTCAGAATTAAACACGGTTCACAAATGGAAGGGCATCGGGACAATATTTTAAAATCCTCTTATTTTTCCTCCCACCCGTCACTTTATTACTTCCTGAAGTGACAATGCAGCATTCTTCTTGGCAATTCGCAGTCAAGGGAAATTAGAGATACTTTCTTCCCCGTTGAGTTTTAAATATAAGCAAGGGCAGA